TCTTCTGGTTAAGAGATAAAAACTTTTTCTTCTCTTCATTCGAATCATCATATCGGTGTATCCATCGCTCTTTTGTAAATTTTGCTTCGTTGCTGAGTTATTCCATTTTTATTGAAATTTAGACAATATCGTCCAAAGAGGTCCAACTCATTTTTCAATAAACTCGCCTGGCCAAAATAAGTCGAACACACTTTGTTTAAATTAATCCTCCATACAGTGGAAGGTAGAGTTCATCCATTTATCATATTATATATAGGGGTGGCACTTTCCCGTTCCTTTCCAGAGTAACGGTAAAATGATACATTTTGTTTCCCCAAAAAAAGAAAAGTGATATCTTTTCTTTTCGCAAGAAAAAGTTTTCTTACTTTACTCCTTTTTTTTGTAAAGAAAAAGAAAAACTTTTCTTTTGTTAATATTCAAAGTAATAGTTGAGCAAACAGAAGTTTGTAACGTGGAAGAGATGGAAAACAACAAAAAAGAAAAAGAATGCAGAAAGTGTCACAAGGAGAGGGAAGTTTGTTAATAGAATAAATGGTTTGCATACATCACTAGTGGAAGCGCTCCGTGTCCTCAATAAACTTTAAAACGGAGAAATACAGAGTTTTTATATCTTTTATAATTTATTGTTGTATTTTCATTGATCAAAACCTGCCGAAATTCTTCTAACATAGTTTTTCTCATATTATCATACTGCATACACTCCAAAAAGAAGTGGTAAATTGCCGCCATTTTGCAGCATTATATAGAAGTCTATTTATGAGTACGTTTTTTTGTGCTTAGAACTACATTTCTTAACAATTATGAGCGAACAAAATCCTGGTGCCGATAGAAATTTTCTTAATGAAATTTTACGAAACGAACCCAGTTTATATGATTTACATACACATTTGTTGGGAATGGGTGACTCAGACTTTTGGCTTTATTCGGTATTAGGAAATGAAAGACTCTTGCCAACAAATAAAAAAATTTGTGACAGTATTGATTTTCGTCAGAAATATGGTCCATTAATGTGGGATGACACAAAATCAAAATTTATTAATCCAGAATGTACTGACGAGTTTATTCGAATATTAATTAACAGCAACGGTGTTTGTGACCATCTCTTAAGTAGTCTATCGGAGAAGGAAACGTTTCGGAAACTGTTTAAGACAATACCATTTACAGAACTTAAGCATCATAATTTAACATTCCTTAAAGATTTTTCATACGATGTCATTTTAAAGTTAGACAATCTGGCAAAAGCGTTTGGCATTTTCGAAAGGAATACACATCGCGATTTATTGCAAACGATCGTTGAAGAAAAACTTGGCTTTCACGATTATAAATTAAGAAACAGTAATACCATAAATAACGAATTTAAATATTATATCGTTTTTAATGCTCGAAAACAGTTATTTGAAATCGTATACGGTATACCAGTTGAAATAGTTCGTGAACTTGTTGGAGGTGATGTATCCGATGATAAGATACAAGATAAAGTGATTCTAAACGCTCGAGGTTATATACGTAATGCGTTTTCAATGCGTAATGCCGATGGAACGGCACCACGAATGATTGATTTTAGTTTATTTCAGGGTACTTTTACACCTGAATTTTATCCACGCCGTTTTGCATTAAAAGATGCACTTTATGAACAAAGATTAGATATACTCGCTTATTTATTGAAACATGTACTTGGACGTTATATTTCATGTGCACCGCCGGTCAAATACTGTGAATTATCGATAGGAGTTGGAGATCTTTCACGGCCATGGGTATTTGATATTTTGCGATCATTTTCTATCTCCGATTCGATTGAAACTAACAACCGAGACAGTAAAAATTCGTCTATGATCAACTCTGTACCGAGAGGTATACAAAAGAGCACCTTCAAACAACTCATCGGGAAGTATTTCCAACATTTGGCTCCTGGAAGCAATGATTGTTTTCAAGATGTAACGTACAAGTTTTTGGCAGGATTTAGTCGACATCAAGTTCAACTGCCTTATATTAATTCACAGGCAGAAGCGATATCACTTCTTTATGGAGCACCTCAATTATGTATTCATTTAATGACAAAAGAAATGAAAAGAGAATACGAAGGTGGTGGTATCGAAGGAATATTTCAAATATTTGTTGATCAATTAAATAAAATGAAACAGGTAGCAGAACGCCATGAAGAAACTTTTTATCATTGGGTAGTTGGATTAGATTTGTTTGGCGATGAATCAGGTTATCCCTATTGTCCATTCGTTGCTCATGAATTTCTAGCCTATATCATACACTGTCGCTCAATAAATTATTATTTTGGTATACGTATTCATGGCGGCGAAAATGTATCTGTAGTGAATGCAAATCTTCCCGGTTATCGTTTATTTGTTGCACACATGTACATTTTTTTTCAATCGTTACAATATTTGCAAAAGAAATTAGGTTGTGGTATTAGAATCGGACACGGAATTGCTTTTGAACTTATACTAGGTGATAATGGGAGCATAACACGCGAGCGAAAATCATCGGTTCTTCTGTCAGAAATGCAAAAACTTGGAAAAGATGTATTGAAACAAATTACATTCGAAGTAAATCTTACGAGCAATATTTACCTGCTAGGCACTTCTGTTCGTCAGCCACTTGTTCAACAAAAATCGCATAATTTAGAAATTCTGTTTAACGCTAACATACCGGTCATTTTAGCGACTGACGATGATGGTATATGGCCAATTAACGCATGTCCGTTTGGCCATAATAAACATAGTTCGCTTCCTGCAGAATATTGTCAAGCAATTGACAATAAGCTAATTGCATCCACAGATCAACTGAAAAAAATGTTTTCAGACACGAAAAGTTCGGCGTTTTGGCAGCCAAATCACAAGTTCACACCACCACCAGCAAATAATGATGCTGCTTCATTTCGTCCATCTTTTATTGTTTTACATCTAGATATTGTTAGACACATACTTAGAAATTTTGACTTCAACACCAACAGCGACCAGTGTTATCGATTTGCAAGATATTACGAATTTATTCAGCAAATACAAAGTCCAACCGATTACGGACGCGATAAAGAGTGGGAAGATCAATGTGAAAGTTTGTCTCGTACGGCGTTTGCTGCATGGTATGTAGTACATTCGCCTGATACAAAAGATGATTACTCGAAAGAATTCAAACTAATCTTTAGCAAGACGGAATCATCTGACCGTTTATATAACATTTGTGATGATATATATAAAAGTTTGATGGCTCAAGACAAAACAAAAAGTTCGGCAATAAAAATATTTTATTTGAAAGACAGAAGAAGAACCGTATTCATATCGGAAAAGCAGAGTTTGCCCATTATATCCAGTTCGCCCATGGAACTGCTCCAATATATTCGCGGAAACATTTCAACCAACGATAAATTTATTATAGTTGATTTTTGTGGACATCTTGATGAAAGAGAAACGATTAAGGAGCTTGAGAAAGTATTAGAGTCAGAAACAAAGTTTCACGTCAGCCTGCGTTCTAACATAAACAAAACCGACTATATAGATTATTCCACTATACAAAACTGTGTAACAATTAATCAGCATCCGCAAACAAGAACGAATTGTGCTGGACAGCCAGAAAAACATGTTTTATATGCCGTTTGCCCTCACGGTAGTGCTGCGACAGCCGCTTTCCATTATCTACCATCGATTTTAGATGATATAGTTGAATTTCCCGAGTATCCTTCATCCGCAATTGAAAATCAAGTTGAGACTGCCCAATTCATAACACCAGTAATGAGGATGCGACCAATGAGGATGCAGCAGTTTATCCGTCCTGATATATTTACGGGTGCTAGCAACTCACTTGCCTCCCAGATGTGTTCGCTCAGTCCAATCTTTGGATATTTGCATTCACTTTCGCATTCGCATTACATTCCATCCGTCTACACTTTCTTTGATTGTAATCGTTTCTTTCTTCGTGGATACAGTGAAAGATGGTACTTGCGAAAAAAGCGCGAAAACATAGCCGTCAATCCACAACATACTCTTTTCCTCGACGATGCTCTTTATGCTGAATTGAGCTGGGCAGCATTATACAAAAAATTTCATCAAACGGCAACCGATTTAATTTCACAAATGTTCGAATTGGGCTTTAAATCTCTTAAAAAATACCATTTATTTCCATCAATGTATGCTGTATTACGATCAACTTCTAATCGCAAAAAAGTTAAAGAATATTTTGACACAAATTCGGATGAATTAGCCGTTCCGATTCAGGGAATGGTCGTCGATTACAATCATCATTTGCTAGTCTGTACTCAACTCGAAGCCCTTGATATCCAGTTTTTGTTATCATTGACCAGACGTAAAGAATTAAACATTGGAAATTGGACGCACACATTTTCTGATTCGAATAAACCAACCCATTTTAGATTTCTGTCAATTCTAGATGACGATGAACTGCCGAAAGAACTCTCATTTCGAGTAGCCTATTTATTGTGGATGATTATTTGCGAGGAAGATCCTTTTAAAGAAAAGCATATACTGTCATTAGTGAACGAAATCGTCGGGTATTTTGCCAAAAAGTTCAAACAACTCGAGCGATATTTCAATGTTCATGAAAATAACGTTTGGGGGTATTTCGTTCTGTTAACAATTTATAAAGCAGCACAAACAAATTGGACATATATTACGATCGATGATTACTGCGATTTTATCGAAACGACTTTTTTCAGTTATACAAGAATTTTAAAATTTTGTGACTTTTTAAAGCGTAATAAGTTGTCAGACGGATACAAAGAAATGATAAACGATTCTGAAACGGGCAAATTAGGCAATGAGATACAAAAAACAAATATATATCGAAGAAAAGCTGGAGAAACACAGAAACAAAACCTGTCTAAAATTTAGTAATGACATTATATTCGACACACTCAACGCATGACAGTGATCATCGAATTATCTAAACATTTCTGTTATACTTTTATTATTCGCATCTTTTTACTCCTGAAATACTCGTTTTCAACCTTGGAGTTCATAACTAGCTCTAACTAATTAATTTTTTCTGTACGTTTATCGCCAAGCTTACTACCCGTTGTATTTTCATAATCAGTGGACATATAGATGGTGAGCTTTTTTCTACGCACGCAGGATAAACCCCCCGTCTGTCCGTCCAATTATGGAAAAATGTTCACAATGAGGACCTCATCTTGAAATGAGATTTACAGCCAAAATATTAGAACTTGGCTAATTTAAAGTTATACAAATGAGAATGAAAAATAAACAATAAAACTCCCAGCACTGTTTAAGAGTTTTTCGCAAAATGAATGCTTTAGAATAAATCGGTCACTTTGTAAAGTGTCGGAAATTCAAAACTTCAGCAGAATTTCTTTTTTTTCGTCATAATTGAATAGAGTTCATCGAGTTACCTAGAAAAAAGTCACTTTAACTTTTTAAAAATGATTTTCCTGAAAAACTATTGAAATGGCGGGTAACGATTTCTTATGGAATTTTAGAAACCAATATGTGAATTTTGTAGAGCTCGACGAGTCCTACTTGAGTCCATCAGGAATGGAGTTGTGTCCAGAGAGATAACGAATCATAGCAGAGAAAATTCGATTTTTCTTACTTTCATGTATATTGCGTATATAGTCATCAAAGTAACTAGCGATTTTCTCATCAACGACTCGATTAAAATAAAAAAATAAATAGTGCATTTTGCAGAGCTGGACGAGTTCTACTCGGGTCCATCGAAAATGGAGTTGGGTCGTGTGATGGAGCGAATTGCGACACGAAATACAGGAAAATCCTGGAAAGAATGACTTTTAGATTAGGATTAGGAATATTTTCGAGTATTTTGTACATTAAATCCAATGAATTTTAGAAACGAATATATGAATTTTGTAGAGCTCAACCAATTCTACATGGATCCATCGAGAAGGGAGTTGGGTCCAGTAATGGAGCGAATCCATTTAGTAAATACTTGAATCCTGACCTAAGATATCCTACGTGTGAAAATTGTGCTTATTTCTCGGAATTCCATATTTATTCCTGCACTATGATTTTGAACCTAGTTTTTTTCTGATTCGGCATGCAAAACTGACCATAGAAAACCAAATCTGACATTTTCCGTAGTTAAAATGGGCTCAGATTTTGAGAAACCCGAGTAGAACCGGAAAAGAGTCCCTGTTCATCTTGCAAACTTATCTAGTTCTTCTGGTTAAGAGATAAAAACTTTTTCTTCTCTTCATTCGAATCATCATATCGGTGTATCCATCGCTCTTTTGTAAATTTTGCTTCGTTGCTGAGTTATTCCATTTTTATTGAAATTTACGTATATAAATATACGTAGGACGTACTTTTTTTTTTATATAAGCAGTTTTATTTAAAATATCCTTAGACGTTATGCCACCAAAGCGACAAAAGCCATTACAGAGGTGAGCAAAGGCTTCCGTTGTTACATACCAGAGGCCAACCAAAAAAAGAAAAAGAAACGAGAAGAAAGTAGAGATTAGTAAAATGAAAAAAAAACAAAAAACAGAGAGAAACAAACAGTTTTTCGAAGATGTTGATACAGAGTAGCTATTAAAGTAATGATCAAAGGAACAGCAGCAACGATGGGAGGGTGACTAGTGTGTGTGTGGCAGTGAGGGAGGATAAAGTTTTTTTTGTACAGTCATGAAAAATCTTTAAGGAATGTTAATTTACGATGCTTAAGTTCTGTAAATGGTATTGTCTTAAACAGCTTCTGAAACGTTTCCTTCTCCGATAGACTTCAATCGGATGACGTATTTATTTTTAAAGTCATACTCATCTCAGATAATCTCTAAAAGCAGACAATCTTTTTTCGCCGAGCCTCAATGCGCATCGATGCGAGTTTTTACTATTCTTTCTGGGAACGGTGCGTATACGCATCGACGGTATTTTACAGTACCAAACGGGTTTTCTCTACCAAACCCAAGTTTGGTATTTTCAAACTGGTATTCAAAAACTTTCCATTACATACAGAGCTCTGGCTCTGTGATATATTGTCTATATTCTGTAAGTTTCAGTACCCGTAGATGACTTTTTTGTGCTAGCTTAGTAACTTATTTCTCGGAACATCTATCTTTGAACTGTAGAAAAAGTTTGCTTAGCTATTCTTTCTCTGCATCAGTAGTTGTTTCAGGTTATACCTTTGAATATTTTCACTCTCGTAGTTAAAAATAAATTCTATTTTCTCCCTTATGATTGGCTTATCCGCGCCTGTTAGTCGTTTTCCCGTATTTTGAGCACAGACATACAGAATCTGTATGTCTGTGCTCAAAATAACTTAAAACTTAAAAACTTTATCAATTTGGTGTCCTAACAACTATCACAATTTACACCAAAAACCAGCGAAGCATCTCGAAAAAGTGAATATGAGAAGAATCTCTAATATCGATCGACTACTTCAATTCAAACGCCATGGCTGAGTGGTTACGTTGTTCGGCACGCACCCACAAGGTACTGTATTGAAACCTCAGTAATATCACCCATGGAATGACTCTGGACAAGTCACTAACGGCTAAGTTGTCTCCAATGACCCATTCCACATGAGTCATTCGTGCTGACTACATCTCTAGTCAGTATGTTGGACGGAAGAGGGGGCAGATACCGCCGTCTGTAAAAAGAAAAGATGAAAGAACTCGGCTGTATGTGGAAACCACTAATAATAACCGCGGCCAGCCCCAACGGACGATAAGTCTATGGGACGTTATTATTACTTCAATTCATCAAATAATTGAAACGTCGTACTAAACAATGTGGAACATCGAAATACGTTTTCGCTTGTATTTATATGAAAAAATACTTTGAATATACAGAAGTAAAAGAAAGAAACGAAATCATCCCAAACTGAAATTATTTGGTGAGTTCCGATGGTAGACCAATTTCTGAAACGAAAATTATTAAACAAAATCTAAATCCAACTCCGGAATGACTTGACTTTGGTAAATTTCTAATTAGTATGGAAAGTATTGATAGATATCGATATTGAAGTACTGAACTTAACTAACGTTATTTATACTTTTATCTATTTATTCTAATACGATGAATATGGACAAAAAGAGGCAAAAGAAAGAAATAACGTCCAAACTTACTTCTGTTAATGACGTTAGAGCAATTTTGATATGTATATATGCGGACATATATGGCGTGGGGATAATATATTGTTTATGTTTCAAACGGTTAGTGATAAACCGTTCTCTACTAGTATAAAGAACAACATCAGTCGATTTGATATGGGTTTGTTTTCATCTTCTCCCATTACTAAGGTCTATTCTCATTGATGATTGATACTGCTATCTAATCTTACGTGGTAGAAAATATCGCTATGATATACTCCACATCAAAGTAGTTGATAGACAAACGGAAAAAAAAGAACTGACTTTCTGTTCTATGAAAATAACATTCTTCAATAGAAGAAGATAATCTACAAGATTTTTCCACATCCTAGCGAACAGCCGGATTCTATGTAATGTTATGTTCTGACCAGTTCTTCTGACGTCATTAGGTCCTTTTCTGATCTTTTCTCAGATGTTCGTTGATATGTATGAATAAAGTGAATAAGTTAGAGAATCGCGTTAGTCAAATCGCGCGAACGAGTAAACCTTCCGAGATGATGCCTCCATTTTTAATGATATTATGTCGATTAATAGAGAAGCGTGTCCCAGTAAAAATCCTGAACGCATTTACCGCCATCGCACTTCTTTCAAAAGTTATGAATTTTTGTTTTTGCCCTGGGAAGGAAACTCTATAACACTAAAAGTTTCATATCTCGATAAAAACAAAGAATAAAAACCTGAAATGTTTTTCTAATTGTGCCTTCGGTATCATAGAAGATTTCAGCTTGTTTACTTATTGAATTATTGAATTTTTAATGGTTTAAGAAAATGCTCTAAAAGTACTTTATTTTTGTTCTGACTCAATGTCACGTGAACAGAATTTGATTATACATGTATCAATACGTATTTTTCGAATTATAGTTGACCTGAGTGAGACGATACTCAGAAAAATATACTCTTAAAATTTCCAGCTTTATGTGGTAGACATTACGCTTCTAGAGATATGTTTGGGGGTGGGCCAAAAAAGAGAGGGTCGGATATTTCATTGTATTTTTCAAGTTTCTTTCTTTAGAAACAAGCTGTAGCCTTGATATTTACAGCACAACTTGTGCCACCCGTTTGACATATATGGCAAAAAAATGAGTTCTTAATTCCATGTAGTTTGGTCAGGAGATAGCTAAAAGGGGGTGGGACAAATTGTATGTCACAAGCCATCGGACGTCAATACCAATTACTCAAAAACGAAAAAAGCTGGTAACTTGCGGTTTCAATAATCTATAGTACCTACTTTGGTGAACTTTTTCATAGAAAAACATTTGACTTAAAGTGCTTATTGGCTGCGCAATAGACTCAAAAGGGGATGGAACATGATTTTTCACTTTGCCACAAATTAGTAGGGGAAAGAGGGGTGTAGCCCCCATACATAAACATCACCATCAATGTCAACAAACAGACCCTTCCATTCGCCAACCTTCTGCAATGCCGTGCCAGGACCATGTTGATTACCATATCCGCCAGCGACAAGGACACCTTCAGTAGTAAATGGCCTATCTTTTAGCCATTTTTTTAGGCCATCTAGAAAAGCTATGTATATGTATCCATTTGGTGTAACGAATAACGCTGATGGAGTTAGTGCACCTACAGTCAAGGAAGTTCCATACGTTGATCCAACTGGCGAAAGTCTTCCACTTCTGTGAAAAAAACTGAATTCTTTCAACAAACTATGAGTGACGACGACACATTCAGTTTTAAAGTAAAACACTTCTGAATCAATGCAGTCACACGGCTACGGTGACTGCCGGAATTACCTTCCTACTGTCAAACATTGTTTTGAAAATTATAAACATTTTGATGAATTTTGACTAGTGACACGGTCCGAAAATCATCTTGCTGCTGAGATATTTACGGGTGCTATAACAATTCGTATTAGTCTTTTTTGTCTCTGTCAATTCGTCTCAGTCTATTTGTCTCGCATAATATTCGTCCCCGACAATTTATCTCACGAAAAATTTGTCCATTCGTCATTTCGTCTCAGCTGTATAATTAGACAATTCGTCTCACAGAGAATGTTACTGTGTCATGAACAGTCTGTCTTCTACGTATGAGACGAATATTGTGTGACGCTTTGCCTGAGACGAATTGTCGGATACATGAAAGACTAACACGAATTGTCGCTGAAACCAAAAGACTGAGACGAATTGTCAGAGACAAAAGAGACTAAGACGAATTGTCGGGTCACCATATTTACGCTATCCTTTGCATAGCACCAAGACGCTTAGATAAAAACTTCGATTTTAGCGTGGTTTCGTGATTTAGCGTGAATCATATTGTAGCCCTGACTTTTACCTTTCAGAATATGTATAGGATTCCAAAAAAAAGCTACTAGTAATGGGATTTTCAAAACTTTTTCTAGAAATCGAGGGCAAAAATGACAGCTTTTCCTTTTTATAAAGTACTACGAGCAGTTGCTGGCTGGAAAGAAGAGTTTTATACTCCGAGAAGTAGATTCTAGCAATTTAAGGCCCCCTCCCCCCCACTCAGAAATGGTGATTTTAGGTAAAAAAAAAACCGGTTTTGAGATACGCATATGGAAAGATAGCCTGTGTCCACTTGTCATGAGAACCATATTAATAGTTTTTTTCTCATGTATTTCTCAATTACTCGCCCATGTTATTATACACCGAACCGATGTTGTTGTAGGAAGCAGCCAATGAGCGATGATTCGGAGGGAGAGCTATTTTCCCAATTTCAAGTGATCGTTCGTATGATGAAAGTGCTTTCGAGTACTCGCCCATGTTACCATACACCGAACCGATGTTGTTGTAGGAAGCAGCCAAGTCGGGATGATTCGGAGGGAGAGCTATTTTCCCAATTTCAAGTGATCGTGCATATTTTGAATTGGCAATGTATCGTTTGGAAACTCGGGAACAGCTATTTGAAAGAAGCGTCAAATAGAAACTATCATTGAAGCTGAAAATATTCTGATAGAGCTTGAAATTCTCTATCATCCTGACCGTTTGAAACAAAAAACGAAAGAGATAGTAAAAAAAGCTACTTCTTTCTAGAGCTTGTCAAGGAGCGTGCCTACGTAATGCTCGAATTATTCTCCAGGATATAGATGCAAGATAGTTAAAAAATATACAGGATGATAGAGAATTTGCAGCTCTATTAGAATCTATAATTGCTTGTTTAAAAAACATTTTCTCATACGAATAATAAATTCAAAAAGAAGTCTTCCAAACTAACAAAAAGTGCAAATTTTTGGTGCTTGTCGATTCAGAATATTTTCATTGTATTCAATTTTTTTTTCAATCTAGGAATGCAAGAAAATAAGTAAATAGACAGGGTGATAGAGAATTTGAAGCTCTATCAGAATATGTAATTGCCTTTTTTAAAATATAGTTCTATGATGATGAAAAAATTAAAAAACTAATTTTGAGTACACTAAAAAAAATTCGTGTCGGGGAATCTCAGGTTGAGGATGCTTTTATTGTACTCAATTTTTTTCAATGATACGTAACTGAAAACCAAAATATAAATACATAGCACAGTGGGCAACTAAGCGGACATTAGGCCAAAAAGTCGATTTTATCTATCTTGAAATACAAATAGTGCAAAATGTAGCTCTTGAAATTCTCTATCGAATGGTGTATAAACGTCTATTGTGAAACT